GAAAAAATAATGTTAAAGACATAGAGTGAATTATGTTTTGCTAAGTGTATTAGTTTTCTATTGTTGCCATAATGAATCATCACAAACTTAGTGGTTTAAAACAATGCAAATTTATTATCTTACAGTTGTGTAGGTTAGAATGTGACATGGGTCTCACTAGGCTAAGATCAAGGTATTGGACTGTACTACATTTCTTTCTGGACGCCCCAGGGAAGAATCTATTTCCTTACTGTTCTGAGCTTGTGGAGGACACCACATTTTTCGGCTCATTAACTGCTAAGCCCATTTTCAAAGGCAAGAACAGCAAGCTGAGTCTTTTTCAGATCACATCTCTCTCACTCTTTTCCCTCCTCTTCTATGCCAAGGACTCGCATAATTAGATAGATTAGTCCCAGCCAAATAATCCAGGATAATTCCATCTCAAGATCAACTGATTAGCAGCCTTAATTGCATCTGCAACCTTAATTCCTTTTGCCATGTAAGATAACATATTCAGAGATTCTGTGGATTGGAATACATACATCTTGGGGCAATTATTCTGAATACTCCATTATGTTTTTAGAAAATTTTATAAAAAAAGAAAAGGTACCCATGTGCTATCTTTAGAATTCTAAGATATCAATACAAGGGATAGATGTGATCTTTTACTTAAAAGACTTGAAAAGAATACAAATCATCAGTGGCTTCTGCTATCTGATACATTATCATGATACAATAGTTGGAGTTTAAACATAACATTAATACTTCATTTTAATTTCATCATTCTTTTCCAGAAAAAAAAGGTTAGACTGTTAAGATTTATACACATAACACCTCTAATTGTAAAAGCAAAAAATTAACCAACTTGTACTCTGCAATAAAACAGTATAATTATTTTACACAGCAATTTAAGAATAAAAAGGCAACCATATATATCAAAGGAAAAATATGAATGTTACAGAAGTCAAAGTACATTCAACCATATAGCAATTTAAATACCCTTCATTTACCAGCTTCTTCAATCCAAAAAATGCCAGAGTCAGCATGCCAACTCCATACTAAAATTGTGTTTTGTGTTCAGTATTTTTACAGTCAAATTATTCTTCACTTAATGAGTACAATAGGAAGTAACATTAGCAACATGGTGGTGCAAGACATTCCTCCTTCGTATCCCTCTTTTTAATCAACGACTTAGACATCCGTACACAAACAAATCACTTTTGTGCGTACTTTCGGACCTAGAGCCCTACTCCAAGGGACCCATGAGGAATCTAGTCAAACAGTGCAGCAAGCAACAGACAAACCTCCCTATGAGCTGCAGAACCAGCAGAGGCAGCAAACTGCCTAGAGTCCTCTGACTCCTTTGCTCTGGGGCAAAAATCAAAGGAGTGCTCTCACAGCCAGGCATCATGTATAAGAGAGAAGTTCCAGAAGTCCAACCTTCCCAAAGGGAGACTCCAGCACATCACTGAAGAAAAATTCTAATTCGGTCGCAGTGGAGGCAGTAAGAGAAACTTTACTGGTGCTGCCACTCCCCCCAAAAAAATGGAACACGATAGATAGCCCAGAATTAAAAGTCCCACATATAAGGTCAACTAATATATGACAAGGGAGCCAAGAACATCCAATGGGGAAAGGATAGTCTCTTCAATAAACGGTATTGGGAAAACTGGATAACCACATGCAGAAAGAGAATATTTTTATTCCTTACACCACTCACAAAAATCACCTCAAAATGGATCAAAGATGTAAATATAAGACCGGAAACCATAAACCACCTTGAAGAAAACAGAGAGAGGAAAATCCTTGACACTGATCTTGGCAATGATTTTTTGGATATGACACCCAAAGCACAAATAACAAAAGAAAAAATCAACAAGTGGCACTACATAAAACTTAAAAGCTTCTACAGTGCAAAAGCAACAATTAACAAAACGAAGAGGCAAATTATTTGCAAATCGTGTTATGGATAAGGGGTTAATATCCAAAATCTATCAAGAACTCATAACTCAGTAACAAAAAAAACAAACGATCCAATTAAAAAATGGGCAGACGAACTAAAGAGGCATTTTTCCAAAGAAGACATTCAAATGGCCAACAGGTACATGAAAAGGTGCTCAACATCACTAATCATTAGGAAAATGCAAATCAAAAACACAATGAGATCTCATTTCACACCTGTAATAGTAGCTATCATCAAGAAAACAAGAGATAAGTGTTGGCAAGAATGTGGAGAAAAGGGAAACTTGTGCACTGTTGGTGCGATTGTAAAATGGTTCAGCCACTATGAAGGACAATATAGACATTCCTCAAAAAACTAAAAATAGAACTACCATATGATCCACAATCCCACTTACATATCCAAAGGAAATGAAAATAGGTTATCAAAAAGACATATGCACTCCTATGTTTACCACAGCATTATTCACAGTAGCCAAGATATGGAAACAACCTAAGTGTCTATCAACAAGTGAATGCATAAAGAATAAGCTATGGTATATATATGAAAAATGAAATACTATTCAGCCACGAGAAAAAGCAAATCCTCCCAAGTGCAGCAACATGGATGAATCTTGAGGACATTATGCTGAGATAAGTCAGAATTAGAAAGACAAATACTGTAAGATATCTCTTATATGTAGAATCTATTAAAAAAATACCAAACTCAAAGAAACAGAGGGGAATGGTGGTTACTAGGGGCTTGGGAGTGGGGAAATGGGAGAGATGTTGTTTAAGGCACACATTTGCAACCAGTATATAAGTAAAACCTGCAGATTTAATACACAGCACAGTGATTATAAACAACAAAACTGTATTATAAACATTAAACTTGCTAAGAGAGTAAATCTTAATTGTTCCCACCACTAGAAATAATGATAATTATGTGACGTGACAGAGGTGTTAGCTAACACTACAATGGCAATCATATTGAAATATAAATGTATCAAATCGATACACTATACAACTTAAACTTACACAATGTTATACATCAATTATATCTCAATAAAAAAAGTGTATAATTCAATATTTAACTGATAAGGAAATAATTTATTTACAGATGGATTGTAATGTCACTTTTATTACTATCAAGTGTTTTTTTAATTTTCCCCAGCAGAAAATCTACCAAAGAAATAAAATATTTGCATCAATAGTGAAATTGTCAACATTTAAAATTAAAATAATCATATTATTTGTAATATTTTGAAATAATTCATGTTCATATGTTATGTAATTGTAAAATAATATATGAGGGAAGGTCTTCATAAACATTAAACAGGCATAAAATTAAATATGAACTGAAACTTTTCTTCCTTATCATAATAAAATTATAACATATGCAGTATGTCATTTATATATTATTTTTATATTTATATGATTTATATATATGTTATAAATATATAAAACTGTTATACATCTGATGCAAAAAGACTCTCATTGTATGCAATTCAGTTTGCATTAAGAAAACTAAAACTTCCATAAATATCCATTTTTTTCATCAATCAAGCTTAGCTTTTAATAGCCACAAACAAGTCAATCTTGAAATAACAGAAAAGACTTGAATGTGATACAGATTCTTTGTAGAAAATAGGAAAAAAGTCATTTGAATAAGTCCTCCCCCCAAAAGTAAATTATAAATAGAGACATATGTTGTTTTGTTCGTGAAAAAGCCTTGCACATCTCTATATACATATCAGCTCGATAGTGAGTTTGTGCTTTTTGCAGAGCTGGAAAAATGTGAGAAACTCAATTTCTTCTCATATCCCTAGTGCTAGGGACACTAACAAGACAGAGGGAACCAAAACAGGAAGGTTTTTATAAAGGGTATGTTAATGAATTGAAGAATTTTCAGACACCCAATTATATTTTTTTCATACTATTTGCCTATGGAATAATATGACTCTATCTAAATACGTGTTATTGGAGCACCAGAAGTTAGAAGGAAGACGAAGTTGAGAGGAAGGAGGAATGACAATAAGAATAACTGGTGACTTCTCATCAATTAAGTTAAAGGTGCATGTTGTAAGCTTTAGAGCAATCATAAAATAAATAAAATGAAGGAATATATGTAATAAGCCAGAAGAGAATACAAAATAGAATAAATATATTCAATACAAGAGAAGGCAGAAAAAGAGAGAAAAAGGAACAGAACAGATGGGATAAATAGAAAACAGATAGCAAAATGAAACATTTAAAATCAACCATACCATTATTACATTAAGTATAAATGAAATAAACACAGAAATAAAAAAGACATTGTCAGACTAGTTTTAAAAAACAGAAAAATAAGACCAAATCATATGCCACAAGCCTAAAATTTGAAACAGCCCACTGTCCATCAAGATGTATGCAGAAATAAATTGCTATAATCATACAATTGCATACTACTCAGCAATAATAATAACTAAACTACTGATATAGTTAACAACATGGGTAAATTCCAAAATAGCGTACTGAGCAAATGACCACACACACAAATTCTGGATGATTCTATTTTTATATAGTAATAGAACATTCACAACTACCCTACAGTGACAAAATTCAGATCCATAGTTTCCTGGGGTAGAGGGTGGGGCTGAATAAGGGAAGCATAACAACACTTTTTGACCTACAGAATATCTTACTTCATTATTGGGGTGGTATTTAAACAGGTGTATATCTTTGAGAAACATAATTGAGCTGTATATTTAAAGTGGGAGAATGCATTGTATTTTATGTAAATCGTAATTTAATGAAAGTCAGAAAGAATATTAAATTATAAATCAATAAAAACAATATATCCAGAAATGCTCCAAAATTTGGAAATTAAACAACGTTCTTTCAAGTAGTGTTAAAAAGTGGTTGCCTGGATGTTTAAGAACATACATACAGTTTAATTTGGAGTTTATAAGTTTAAAATTATAATTAATAACACTGTAAAGACTAATTAGTAATTTAATGTTCTACAAAAAATTATTTATATACACACACACATACATATACATACACACACAAACCTAAACACACATACATAAAATAATTACCAATTGAAGCCGAATACATTTGTTTCATGTGAGTTTCGATGACAGAAGGGTCTCGAGAGCTGTAACTTCCCAACTCAGGATAAAAGCTGGCGCCAATGTCATCTGGGGGGTTGTGTCTCCCTTGTGGATAATTCTTGGTTATTCTAGGGTCCCAATGCTTCAGGATTGCATGGTTCCAATGTACATATTTACCATCAAATTGTGGATTTCCATACCAACTGTAATAAAATACATGTAAATAATAATTCAGAGGTGGCAGTTCTTCCAGGTAAAGTTCAGAGGCTTTGGAAGGTTTTACAGTGCTTTCAACACTTTTTAAATTCTTGATATTTGTTTCACTGTTGATTTTGTCACTCTTTTGGGAATCAAGACTTTTCCCCAAGTGAGATCGTTGATGAAGGTCTGGAAGAAGGTCAAGTCCAAAAGGATCTCCAAAAGTAGCTTTGTTTGGTCTCAGCATTTTTAAACCCATCATCAGAGAGAAGATAAATAGAATAAAAAGTGACAAAATGATGCAAGTCCTTCTTCGAAACTTTGCCATGATGACATACTTTAAATTCCAAAATGGTAAATGTTTAGCTGTAATTTATTGAAAAATGGTAATTAGTTAAGTGGTATTAACAATATTTTCCAATGTCTTCAAAATGAAAACTAAAATCCATGAAGTCCATTACACTGAAAAACTTTTAAAGTGCATTATCATATTAATTATATCATCAATTATTGATATCTACAAAACAATCTATATATGGCTAGACTAAATGGCAGTATTTATTTGGAAATATCACAATTATATTTTGTCAGATAAACATTTTAGGAATTTTACTTAAGAAAATGAATATATTTTTAATCAATTGGGCAGATTTTGCATATACTGAATATAGAAAAGGAATTTTCTATGTATATGGACTAAAATTTTCTAAATATAAATATAAAATTAAAGGTTCTTAGTTCAAAAAACGAAATACTTACGAGTATATTAAAAGCCTAATCATTAAATGGATTTTCAACAAACTCATGTTTTTAACTACAATAATGATTTCACAGGAAGGGAGTAATCACACATTTTAAATGACATTTTTGAAATGGAATAGAATAAGATAAAATAAAAAAGAATGACAGTAGAGAAAAGAATGATAACAAGTTAGAGATTCCCAATTTAAAAAAATATTACTTTACAACTTTAAAAATCTCATTGACAGAGGTTATAAACATTAACTTAAAACTTCTAACTTAAAACTTCTAAAATAGTATTGCACATCTATTTTTATGTTTTAATAAGTGAATGTATACAAATATCCGTACAGGTATGTGTGTATACGTACATAGGTATATATACATACACATACATATGGATAAAATATTTAAGTCTTTTTATGTAAAAATTTCTTATTAGAAAGGTATTTGGTGAAAAGTTGACGTCATATTTTTAAAATATGACTTTCTACAATATATCATGCTGTTGTTATTCTAGAGAATTAAGTTTAACTAACCCTGATATAACATAAGACAAGTAAAACTTACTCTAACGAGCAAGTAATTGTGTCACACACACACAAATACTTTCTACAAACTGCTGCCTCTATTATGCATCTATGCGAGAAATACTAAGATGAGCAAGCATACTTCTTTTAGGGCTAAAATCATAGATTCTTTTCAAAGTCAATCTTGTTTAACTGTGAAATATATCACACCTAAAGATTACTATAAAAGACATATGTCTAGTTTGTAACATATAAACATTCGAAAAGAAAATTGCCAACTTAAAAGCCCATCTCCACCTTTTGTGCCCCGTGCCAATCATCAACCCTGCCCCTTCTCCTTGCTTAAGGGCAACCACTTGACTTTTGTGTTTACCATCCCCTCACCTTTCTTCATAGTTTTTCCAAAACATAATTTGTTTTGCCTGTTTTAAAATTTTATTCAAGCAGATATGGTATATCCATATATACATACATATATATACACATGTGCATAGGTACATATACACACATGAATATATAATAAGCATATTAATCTTATATAGAGATATATGTATACCTTACACATATCTACCTATACTATAAATATGTATAATTATATATATAATTAGATGTATAAAATATACACAAGTTTTGGGAAGCAATATTGATTACTAAACCCTCTCTGACACTTTACCTGGCGTCCTACCTCTTCCCCATTCCTGCATCCCATCGCTATCAGTTCTCTCTCTCTCTTATAAAAAGCCATGAAAATGGACTTTTAGCAAAGGAATAAGTAGATGGGTCTCGGGATTTTATTTACAAATATATTAATTCACTGGTTTGATGAAAATGCTTTCATGTCAAATATTTCTCCTTCCTAAACTTTGAAAATAAGATTATGAAAGTAACACTTTCTCTTGTTCCTAAGACTCTAATTTAGGGACCTCCCCCCATAAAGTTTTTATTGTATTTTAATAATATTATTGATGGATACACTGTAACCACATCAACAAGCTGGACTCAGAGTATGTCATGTAACCAATCAATAACATAAGACATAAGCTAAGACAAACTTTATAGAAGTAGACACAGTTGACTTTAAGATGAGAAATAGTTGAATCCTTATTGTTCTCCAAGGAACAAATAAAAATTTATTTCACTTGGTTGAAATATCCAAAAAACTGTAGAAAAAAAAGTAAAAGATACATAATTCAGTTTCAACTGTATTATGTAAAAAGTAGTACACTAGGCGCCACATGAAATAGGTTTAGGAAGACACAGTCCTTACGTTCAATGTGCTTAGAGTCCATGAGGAAGGGGAAGACACATATGCAAATAACTATAACCCAAAGAAGAAAAATGCCGAAAGCGAAGTGGAAGGCATATAAAAGAATGAAATGCCATATAAACTACGGAGTTGTCGAAAACCCTTTAGGAAAAAATAGTAAAGTCTTAGAAGAATTGTACAATATGCATAGGCTGGTGGAAAAGAAAGAAAAAAGAAGATGGTCATAAGTGTCAGAGGAAACAATATGCCCAAAGACATACTGGATGTGAAAAGATACATTTGTGAAATAAAAAGGCCTTTGGCTGCAGCATGGAAAACAAGATGGTGAGGTAAAGTAAAGCTGTCGTGGCATGTTGGAACCAGGCTGTGCATCTAAGTGATAGGACAGTTCTTATTCTGGTCAACAGGGGGCCACTGGAGACTTGTAAACAAAATATTGGCATAATTAGAGGTTAGGTTAGAAGGATGAAGCACCTATAGAAAATGACATTCAAGCCATGAAACTTCACCATTGTCTGACTCTAACAATCTCCCATTCACTGATGATTTTAGCAACTGACATACTATCTTCCTTCCTACCCTACTTCTGTTTTTAGTGACTCCACTGACATGGATGATCCATGCAGTAGTTTACCCTCCCAATTCTTTGCCGGTCTCACTTCTAATGATCTGTTTTTCCACCCCACTTCACCAACTCAAGTGTCACACGCATACTCTTGATCTTGCCATTTTCCATCTTTTACCATCCCAAAATCTTTACTTCATTTTTTTCATTTCTAAACATAACCTCCCATGCTTTGAACTCCTCTAGTTTAGTACGCTCATTCTGGCAATTCCTTGACCTTATTGAGATGTCCAATCCACTAACTCGACCACTTTTTCGCTATTTCTCCTTTTATTCATGTTTTGTTTCTAGTGATGCAGTTTATAGCCCATAGTCTAGCATTACAATTCCTTACTTGCAGATACTCTTAACTCCCTTTACTTCTCTCCTTTCTCAATACTTAGCTGTTAAAACCTCAAACAAATGATGCCTGTCTTGACCTTGATCCAGAACCACAGAATGATACTGGAGAAAAACACACAACCACGCTGATTTCTCACTTCGAATTCACGTCTATAAATTTTAAATGGACACTCAAGACCACTTACCAGTCGTATTACTATACCTCAGTATGTTCACTTTTCTAACCTCAAAAAAATTATTTCATTCCTTCTCATTTTCCATCAAACCTGCTACTACATCACCAACTTCCTTTATTCTCTTCAGATAGCTATGTTTCATAGAGAAAACAAACAATCATACAGGAATTTCCTTATCTTCCCATTAACAAATTAACCTATTGACGTCTACTTTTTTATTGTCAGCAAATGTTTCCAAGTTTAATTTTAATATTTGTTCTGTTTCACTGCTTTGCTTTTCGTCTATAGAAAGTCCTATTACTTTTATTGATTTTTACAACTGCCTTTTTTCTTTTTCACCCCTTTCTTCATTTCATTTTGTTTTTTAAGTTTCTCTACACTCTATCTCCCATAAGGCATTATCAGTTGTGTTTGTCTTCTAGTCTTCATTTATGAAATAATCTATGAAGTAATTTTTCTGTCAATTTTTATTTTCTGATTAATTTTACCTCATTTCTGCGTTTCCATAATTGTAATTTACTTATTCATTCATATCTCATGTAATTATTTCAATTGTTTACTTCTATTTAAATAGTAAATTACAGTTGTCATATATTTTGTGAACACGTCTCTCTGGCATGCTTTCAGCGTTTACAAGTATGTTAACTTTTTTGCCTGTAATGACCTTGTATGGGATTTGACTGCGATCATTTTCTGTTGCTAAATATTACATGAAATAATTTCCCTTAATTTTTGGAAGCAAACATTGAATCATGATCGCTTTTCTAGCTTCAGAGCTCTAGAGATCTTTCTTCTGTTGTTTTCATGAAGTTGTAACATGGCCTTGAATTTTTTTGAGATCAGCTGGGTTTTTCTCCATTCCCACATTTTTCCAGAATTTTTAATTTCCTTTGCTTCTATTTTGTTCCTACCCTGCTCAATTTGAAAGTTATTTCCAGAAGTTACTCTTCAATATGGGGCTTTGTTCTGAAAAGGAGCATCAGCTACTTAGCTTTTCAGAGTTCTTAAAAACCAAGATGCTCTAGTCCCTTCAGATATAAGGCTTCAAAATTCCCCTCCTCCATTGCAGCTACTATTCTCAGACTGGACTGTCACTTTTTCCAATTAATATCTATATTTAGATATTTTCCGGTTTCAGGTCAAGCAGACACACTATTGCTTCCGTCTGCTTCCTCCAGCACAAACAGATAGAATATAAGACTTGTAATCGTTAGTGAGCTATCCCCACCCACTCAGATTTTGGGGTGAGTGGGGGTAACTTGTCATTTCAGTTTTATTGCAGATGTTTGTTTGGTTTTACTATTTTAATGCTCTGTTTTTATGATTGCAGGAAGATTCAAACACTATACCACTGCTGTTGCTATCATCCCTGAACTCTCTTTTGCACTTTCCTAAAAATATCTTTAACAGTATCCCATGAGTTTTGCACTCCTGTATTTTCACGACCACTTAGTTCAAAATACATTCTAATTTCCATTATGATTTCTTCTTCTTTTTTTTTTTTGTAAGATTAGCCCTGAGGTAACACCCACGACCAATCCTCCTCTTTTTGCTAAGGAAGATTGGCCATGGGCTAACATCCATGCCCATCTTCCTCTACTTCGTATGGGACACCGCCACAGCATGGCTTGATGATCAGTGTGTCAGGCCGCGCCTGGGATCTGAACCTGTGAACCCCGGGCCGCCGAAGTAGAGCTCACGAACTTCACCACACCACCAGGCTGGCCCCTATGATTTCTTCTTTGATGACTTATTTATAAATGTATTATATTTGGGAGATTTTCTAGTTATCTTTTTGAGTTGATTTCTAGTGTGAATCCACTGTACGATTTCAGTCCTTTGAAATATGCTGAGACTTGCTTTAAGGTTCAACCTATGACCAATTTCATTAAGCGGCCCATATGAAAGAATATATATTCTGCACCTAGCGGTTACTGAGTTCTACATATGGGTATCAGAACAAATATGCTAATTGTGTTGTTTCTATTTTCCATATCCTCACTCGTCTTTCTTCTGCTCATGTTAAAAACCCCCCACTATCATTGTGGCATGTCTATAAATATTTATGTTATATAATTTTAATTGATGTTACTATGTGGAGACACATTTAGGACTGCTACATTTTCCCGAAGAAGTAAATCTGTTCTATAATGAGACGTTCTTTTCCTTCTCTACTGATGGGTTCTGACTTCAATTCTATTCTAATAGTAACACAGCTACAACAGATTTCATTTGGTTCATGTTGGCACAGAGCGTCATTTTCATCATTTTATTGTCACCTTAAATGGTTATTTTTGAAATATGACATTGTTTTTATTATTGTTTTTAATCTGACAGTCTTTGTCCACTAATTGTAGTATTTAGTACATTTACAATTCTGCAAATAAGGATATTATAGCTTTAAATCTACTTCTTACCCTTGCTTTCCTTTTGGCCTCTATCTTACAAGCTCTATTTTCTCTCTCACTTTCTTTTTAATTGTTTTATTTTCCTTATTAGCTTGTTAATTATACATTCTCTTTGCTATTATTTTAATTATCTCACAGATTATGGCATGCATTCTTACTTGTCAAAATCTAGCATGAATTAGAACTTTACTATTTCTCAAGCAATGAAGGCACACTTGCAAGACTTCAATTCTTTTATCACTGCCCTAACTTTTATACTCCTATTTTGGTGTATTTTATTCTTTACATCTATCTCAGACCCCAGCAGATATTCTATTTTTTGTGCAGTCAACGTTCATTACATTTACCCTTTCCTTTGCTCTTCACTTCTTCCTGCATCTCATTACTTCCATTCAAAATAATTTCCCTACAGTGAAGAAATAATTCCCTTTAATAGGGCCTATAGGGTTGGTCTGCTGCTGATCAACTCTTTCCACATTAGTTTGTTTGAAAATATCCTTATTTTGCCATCACTTTGACACCTAGGTATAGACTTCTATATTCTCAATTATTTTCTTTCAGCACCATCCATATCGTCTGCCTTTAACTGTTTTTGTTGAAAGCTCAACTATTGTTTTTTTCCTTGCTTCTTTAAGACTTTAAAGATAATACATTTTCTTTATTTCTGGCTACTTTTAATATTTTTCTCTTCATCTTTAGTTTTCAGCTTTTTTCCTATGGAATATATATGGAGTATTGTTTTCTTACTATTTATCCTGCTTTAGATTCAAAGTGCCTCTTCAATCTGTGGGTTGATATCTTTCCTTAGCTCTGTAAAATTCTCGACCATTATCTTTCAACTATTGCTTTTGCTCCATTATTGCTCTCTTGCTCTCTCATCTCTCATTTTGGAATACATTACACACGTTAGAATTTTATATCCCGTGTTTATTAAATATTTTTTTATTTCCCTCCTTTCGTCTCTCCATGCTTCAATCTGAATATTTACTTCTGAATTATCTTCCAGTTTCCTAATTCTCTTTAGCTGTGACTTCTTATTATCAGTTATAATTTTAGTCTTGGAACTTCCATTTGACTCTTTTCAAAGACATCAACTCCCTACCAAAATTTTCTATCTTCTCACTTAATTCCTTGAACATTTTAATCCAATTTATTTAAAGTCCACCTCTAATAACATGAATATGGATCTCAGGGATTCTGTTGCTATAGCCTGCTTTGGGGATTTCTTCTCTTAATATCTAGACAGTCACTATCTTTCTGTACCCTAGGTTATTTTTTTATCAAATGCCAGATATCGTGAGTGAAAATTTTTAGAGACAATGTGAGGCTCTATTATCTTTCTTCAGAGAAAGCTTATTTTTGCTTCTTGAAGACTGCTAGGATAGAGAAAGATTGCCTTAATCTAATCACAGATTGAAATCTTCAAAACTGGGTTTAAGTCCTTGTGAATATTTGGTCTATTTCTGATTCATTCCTACTCCCTTACACCCAAGAGTTCTGAAAACAAAGCCACAGGTATTTGTCAAGATCCCTCCTCTCTGATGGGCCTTGGAAGGCCTCTGAATTCCAATGTTGGTCCCCACAGAGCCATGAAACTGCTGAAAGTTCTGTTCATTTTCTCAGCTGCCACTTTCTACTTACGTCGTCAGCTTCTCTGCTGCTACTTTTCAATCAGGAATTTTAAACAACCCCCCTATTCCCTACCCCAATCTCCAAAGAATAATGCAAGGTGTAGGGCTCAGAATCATTCAAATGATTAAATAATCCCACCTAAATTCCCTTATAACCTGAGTGTAGCGAAAGGTTTATAACTAGGACTCAAAATACAGATGCAATAAAAGACAGATTAATTAATAATACTGTAATTAATTTAATAACAGTATAAACAAAGTAAAAGGAGAGCTGACAAACTGAGTGAAAATATTTGCAAGATCATCTACCTCACTCAAAATTATAAAAATGCAAATTAAAACTACACAAAGATATCATTTCTTATCTAGGAGACTGGCAAAAAATAAAAAGTATGAAAATAATCCTGCTGGCAAGACAGTGGGAAAACAAGCACTCCCATACACTGTTAGTGAATGTAAAGTGGTACCACCTTTTTTGGAATTTGGCAATATCTAACAAAATTATATGTCCATTTACCTTCTGACTCAGCAGTCCTACTTCATGGAATTTACCTTGAAAATACACAACCAATAGTAGTACATAAATTCATATACAGTGTTGTTTGTCATTTTAAAATATTGGAGTATTCTGCTGAAAAAATGAAAGATCTCTTGAAATGACAAAGTGCTTTTCTGGATTGCCAATAAGAAAATATACATTTTCTCAAGTGATCAAAAAAAACACAGGAAGAATAAACAAGAATCTAACAGGGTTGATTATCTACAGGGGGGAAGGAGGATCAGGGTGGAAAACACGGGAGGATGAGAACGGGGTAGAAGCGTTGGGGAACGGAAGTGATTCTTCTCTGAGTACGCTTTTTTGTATAGTTTTGTCTTTTTGAGCCATGTTATATTCCACATACTCAAAACAAACAAACAAATATTAAATGTTAAACTCCGGTTAGTAACTTGGTTTTTGCAACGGTACAGATTAGCAATTCTTAAAATATGTACTATGTATTCTAAAAGTAAGCAAATCAACAATACATGCTGGAAAATGGGGCCCAGGTTTTTCAATGACAAAAAAGTGAGTTATAAATATAGAAAGTGGGAAGCTAAAATGAAACTTGTGCTGTCAGATTGTAACTGGCAGTATCAGTATGGATGTGTGGATTGTGACAGATCAATAAATAGGGCGGGGTGTACACATAAACGTGGTCACATTATTTCCTAGCTCTGTCCAGTGAGAGGGTCTGGAACCAAAGAAATACCTACAGCAATAGACACATCTGATGCCAAGATTTTGGTTTTTAAACACCCTTCTCTACTTAAAAGAACCAGGTCCCTTTGAGAAACGTTGATTCCAATACTGTAGCTGGGAAAGTACAATATGACCCTGGAACATCTTGCCAGAAAGTAAGGAAGTACTCAAAGATGTAGGGGACATGTCCATAGGACACAGGAGCCAGCTTGAAGGGGCAACCACCGGCTAAATCCAGGACCATTTCAGCATCAAAACAGGAAATAAAAGTAATAAATTATAGGCATTAAAATAAAAATTCAGGAATCCATACTGATTTTAAAAATTCAAAAATAAATAAATGGAATAAAGAAGACTCTTTTTACATTACAATGCCAACAATAAATTTAGATGGAATAATGGAATTAGAATATCACTATTTGGCAACTACCATAATAATAACTGTATCAGGCAAGAATCATCAAGGGATATTAAATAAGGGAGCAAAAATTTGATGAGAAACAGGATATCCATATATTGGCAAAGTATCTCCCCAAAAGATACCTAAGGGAAACACAGTAACTTAACAGTGCAGAACCTAGCAGACACCACCTTAAACAAGTGATGGAAATTAACTTCATCAGTTAATTTTGGATAAGTAGATATCATAAGTCTCCTGAGAGGATGCCCCAAGAAGGACACAGAATCACTGCTGTGGTATAGTACACTGCTGTGTACTATAATAATGTAGTACAATATTACCATTTGGTGAATCTGCAGGAAAAATATACAGGGATTGTTGAGTTGTTTGTACTATTTTTGAAACTTTTCTCTAAGTCTAAAATTATTTGAAAATTAAGAAGAAACAAAAAAAGAATCCCACCAGCAAACTGGAGGACATGAGTTGTTAACCTAATACCTGCTTATTTCTGGGAAGGGTCAACTCATATAGTCCTTCAAGCTCTGCACTGCCTGAGTCCAGGGAGTACAATTCCTATGTATGGAATGTGGCAGCCCCGTGGACAGGAAAAAGGGATGATATAACCATTTTGGCCTGCCTCTGTGATTGTCGTCCTGAAACTTCCAAGTTATCGAGATAAAAACAAATCCTTCCCTTTGCTTAAAGAAAGTGGGAATTTTGACAAGCAATAAAGTATAAAAAAAAATTATGGACATAATATGATCTCAGCTATGTTCAAGACACAAACAGAGGAAGGAAATACACTTGGACACGTATAATAATTACCTCTGGGTGAGAAAATACAGTGATCTTTTCTTACTCTGTCTTCTAAACTCAGAACATAACACTTCATAAGGAAGAAAAGTTTGGGGTAGGTATTTTATAAGAAAATAATCAATGTAACAAGTCAGAAAGAATGGGAGAAACAACTAAATTTAGAAATTAGTAAGACAACGATTTTTGAGAAGTTGACCAGCTGAGTGGTGAAATGCATGGAAGGGTGAGGATATATAATGGAAAGAATATTGATCTGGAAATCTGAAGATCCAAGTTCAAATCAGCAATGTTGACCTAGTTGTGCAACCCTGAGTAAGCCACTTTTATCTCTTCTTAAAAAAGAACACGTCATCATTTTGTTTTCTGACAAAGTTGTTCTGTGAATCATGCAAGATAATATATGTGAAAAAAATGTAAATGGGTAATGTTTTAATCAAATGGTAAATACTAATTGGATTTAAATATAAATGAAAAGTGAAGAAATTTGGGAAACAAATAGTTCTGACACTTTTTTCTATTTGTTAGATTCATTTCTCAGATGTACACATGAACACAAAACACAAAATGTCCATTTATGGAAGCTGCCTTTTTTTTTCCCTCTTGCCTGTAAATTTAATTTCTTAAGCTGGTCCCTCTCTCTTTTCTTTTCACATTACTTATTTAATTCATTCACTTAAAATGTTTAATCACATCATTACAGACAACCCACTAGCTCTATGCGAACCTCCATATCTCAAGTAACAATAGGTCATCTCAACCTAAAGGCAGCAGATCATTGTGATTAAAAGTATGGGCTCTGCAGTTCACATGTCTGAGTTCAAATGCCAGCTGGGCCATTTCTCAGCTATTTCACCTATACAAGTGACCTGATCTTTCCCTGCCTCTTTTCTCGTCTGTACAATGAGTTATTACCTCACTCATAAAATTTTTGTGAGAATGAAATAATATTATAAAACTCTTAGAATCATTTCTGGCTCAGTTTAACACAATAAATATGAGCAATTATTTATGATGATGATGATGATGATTAAAGATGGGTGTCTGGCAAGCAATTAATAACCAACACAGTTTATTCTCTTTAAATGCCTATTCTCTATATGGCTCATTTTTTAAATATTACTCATCCTTCAAGACAAAGCTGAAATGTTGCCTCTTCTTCTTGATACCTCTCCTAATGATGCCAGAGTGAAAAGTACTCACTTGCTTATATATTCTACTGTTACAGCATTACCTACTTTTTAACTTGGCATTTCTTTCATTATATATTGCATTATGTTATTTATTTACATGTATTTTGGCCAGTCTAGATTCTCCTTAAGGTCCAGAAATGGGGTCCTTATCTTTACACTCCAGTAGAGCCCAATATATCTTACACATAGTCAGTGACCACTAAGTGTTCAGCTTAAACAATTTAATTTCTGGCCCTTTTGTTTTTGACATTGGTACATATTTGCACAGTACATGTATAAAAAGATTCTACTGGCTATACATACACTTGACATGTTTATAGTCTATGCTGAACATATATATGAAGGATTATATATAGACATATCCAATAATTTTAAAAATCCATTCTAATAAAAATTATCATGTCCAACATAGCAAAACCACAATGACCCTTGAGATGTCTAATGGGTCTGATGGTCTCACAGGAAAGGAGCAGAAAAACTACTTATTTGGCTTCAACAAAGAAGTTTCAGAAGTCACCTGAGAGAAAAAAAATTACATGTTAATCGCAAATGTATAGGTTCCCAAAGCAGGAACCTACTCAGGGTATTGGCTATTGAAAATCTGGTATCTTCAAAGGGCAGTTTACATTACATAATAATACACAGAAGTTATACATAATAGGTTCTTTTGAAACTTTATGGTTTCTATTTTTGTGTTTTGTGCTTTTAATCTTTGAAATGCTAGCTTTTGACTTGAAAGTCTAGTGAGATCTCAGAGATCCACAAGCAGTGTGATATCAATTATTTCAAAAAGTATTTGCTGTTATCCTGTTACTCAGAAAAGCCAAGAAGATTTTACCTTTTAATTATGTATTGTTAACTTATGCAGACTTCAGGTGCTTTTTTCCTTTTTTTAGTCTTGTTATCTTCTAATTTTATTTTCTAAGAAGTCAGCAGAGACAAACATTAATACCAGAAGGCACATCTGGAACTTTCAAAGTCAGCTTCTGTACTAAGGCTTCCTTGCTCGGGTCAGTTTCAATATAAACACTTGTACCCTTTGGTTAACAGAGATTCAGTTAAGCACAATCTCATCCTTCCCTTTTAATCTTCACAACAACCTATCAGTAGAACTTCCTTTTTTTCTGTTTCTTTTTGGTGAGGAAGATTGGCCCCGAGCTAACATCTGTGCTCATCTTCCTCTATTTTGTATGTGGGACACCTGCCACAGCATGGCTTGATGAGCCGTTCATAAGTCCGAGTCCAGCCTTCCAACCTGGCAACCCCAGGGTGCCAAAGCACAACGCACAAACCCTACCACGACGCCACCTGGCCAGCCCCTAGAACTTCTTTTTAACACCATTTTACAGATGACAGAACTGAGGTACAGGGCAGTTGGTAACTTTTCCCAAATCGCTGGGCTAGCAAATAGCTAAGTAACCTGCCTGAGGTTAAGCAACGGGCAAGGAGCAGAGCAAGTCTGGCTCTGGAATTCAAGCTATTCCATCTTCCTACAAGGTATTCAACAAATCAAGTTTAGAGAATACAACACTGTAATTTTTGTGACATAGATGAAAACTGCTGACATGTGGTCATGTTTTCATTTCGATTATGGCTTTAGAAAACAATGAACATCTGTTACCTACTCATAAATTGTAGCCCAAATTTAATCTGAATAAACAGCTTATTTTCTGATCATATGCTTACTATTAATCACGTGACTAACAGCAACAGCTCGGGCAGTGCTTTATGCATAAAGCCTGAAAATCCACAAGATTCACTGCCCTCCAATATTTTTCGGGGTTTACATACAGCTTAATATGAAAGAAGTAACATATTGTCATGAAAATGATTTGCAAACCATGTGACTTAATATTACCAATACTTAGATTTTATTTTGTATTTTTCTTTCAAACTACTGTCTAAATACTTTAACACAGACAACCCATTCCAGTCCCATTTGTCTTTTAAGTTCATATAATTAACATTATCCTTTTTTTTTTTAAGCACTTCCACATTTTCCCTTAAAACTTATCCGTAGGGTCCCGCAATAATAAAAGGAAAACAAACTATCATAACTGCCTGAATTTCAATGGGCTCCTTTGGAAAAGAGAGAGACTAGTCCAGCATAGTGACATCCCGAGACTTAGCAAAAGATAACATGTTTGGCACTGTCATCGTAGACTGTTAACAGGTGAAGGGAAAAACCATGTCCGCGGGGACCTCGCCATCCTCGCTCTCCTCTCCCGACCCAAACGCGCCGGGAGGCAGGAGACCGCGACCCGCCTGCTGCACGCCGGGACCCGTAGGCCTCGATCTTTCCTCCCTCCCCGTGGGCGCAAGGCCGAGCTGCAGCTTGGGACAAAGGGACAAGGCGCTGAAAGGCTTCCGTCCCTCCCGGAATTCTCAATCTGCTGGGGAGGCAAGGGAAAACCCTGGCGACAGGAGGCTCCGCTCCAAAGAAGTGGCGGCGACGAGGCCGACAGGGTTAGGATAGAGCAGGGTAGAAGGCACTAAAACTAACCCACACTAAAACAAGGGGTAACAGCAGCAGTGCGGCGCCGCGACATCCCGAGGCTAGCAGCGCAACGCCTCGGGCAGCCCGCCGGAGGGGCGCAGGGTCAAAGGCCGCGGGCAGGCGAGCGGCGAGCACATTGGCTGGCGGACGAGCGCGCAGGCGCCGGGGGTGGGCCCCGTGCCCGCCGCAGCTGCGACTGCGGAGTCCTGAGCCCTCCAGCTACTCACCAGGTTCTGGGAATCCGGCCACCGGCAGGGACTCAACCGCCGGAGCCGTTGAAGCTGGGAGGAGAGAGCGCGTCTGTGGCGTCCCGCCTGCGAGGCCAACCAGCCCCGCCTTCCAGGAGGCGCGCGCAGAGCGCTCCGGGAGCCCCGAGGGGCGGGGCGGGGCTCACTGAGGGGGCGGGCTCACTGGGGGCGGGGCTCTGATTCCCGGCGCAAGCCTGTCTGGTCTGCGAGGGTCGCGAGGGGAGTGGCCGGAAGAGGGGAGAGCCTCCTGGGCGCCCTGTTCTGATGGAGAAAAGGGGCGGAGTAGAGTCGGGGTGGGGGACTCCCGTCGTCTTTCTCCAGCTAGAGATGACCCACCTCTCTGTTAGGAACTTGTCTTCTAAGGTTCCTCTGGGAAGCTCTAAATAATGGAGGACAGCTGTTTTTGATGTGAGGCGTTCAAAAGTTGCCTTGAACTCGAGTACACTGGTGGTTTTCAACTTTTTAAATTGAGGAGCCGTTTTGCCTTTTTTTAAAAATGAAACTTTACTTGGAAGCCCGAGGTAGACAGAGAAAGAGGACATTTTTAATTTGCAAATGTATGCTATAAAATCACATTTGTACTGGAACACTCGTAGAAATAATGGAGAGCAGTAGGGCAGGTGTGAAGAACAAGAGCTTTTGAAATAGGGGTTACAGCTGAAGGTTTCTGTCTTACATCGGCCTCTCGGAAGCCAAGACAATTCTCCGTTTTGTTTGGTTATGTAGTAACAACGAATCCTGACTCACAGTCTAGAACTTGCTGATGTGAACAGTTTTGTAAGGGCCCTCCTTAAAATCTCACTGGATTTTTTAAACAAATTTTAATTGAGAAGTATACA